AGTGCAACAAGTGCAGTCAGTGTCAGTGTATGTACTGATTCAGTGAACACCGTGTCGGTGCAACACTGCAACCGAAGTAGTCAGTGTCAGTGTATACACTGATTCAGTGAACAACCATAACGTATATCTATATTTTCTTATATATGCAGTTCAATGATTTGCTGAAATAAATATAACTGTATATAAAAATTGAATTTATATTGTAAATTTTCTTTTTAATCTTGTAAAGTTTAATATTAGTCAATTTTTGTGTTAATAGTCATTTTGTCAAATATTGTTGTTGACTCAATCTTTATGTTACAGATGTAGTGTTTAAGTTTGTTTTGTTCTTGAAATAAAATAAATGATAGTCAGTCATTAAATAATTTATGTATCATACAATTGTATTTTATGAAAATATTATATACATATAGTGCTAGAGTTGAAAGAGAGATGATCCATCCGATTATAAACATTCATTCAAGTTTTTTAAAATAGAATTTACTTTCAGAAGCAACTAGAATCTATATAAATCTTTACAAAATCTATTTCAGCGTTGAATTAAGGTCTATTTTATAGAGTTTTAAAAATTACTCAAAGTTGAATATATTTTCATTTTATGTCTACCGTTGCCACTATCAACAAATGAATTGGTTGCAGTATGTTTTCAAATGAACAAATCTCATCATCATTAAATGTTTTATTTTCAACATCAACAATATCAACTCAAGGATCATTTATATCTGTTAGAGATATGACTAAAAGGGTGTGGGTGTGGGTATCAGTGAAACACAGACACCCACACCCATACCCACGCTGACATCCACCCACACCCACATTGCTAATCCTATATTTAATTTATACAATACAAAATAATTTTTATCGATAGTAATAATTAGGATTCATCAAAAGTTCTGATAACAACAAATAAAAATACAGAGACATCTTATATTTTATATTATCAAGTATTTAAAATTTGAAATTATTTTTGAAGTCGCATAATCCAATGATTTTTTTATTTGTTTGATCAGTTAGATTACGCTTGATAAAATCGTTTAGTCAAAACTTACATGGTGAAATGTCTAGTGAAAACAGTGGATGCAACATAGTATCAATACTTTTTATGTTGAATACTTTTCATGAAGTAATTTTAAATTTTTTTTTGCACTTGATAACTGTCTGTTTCGATATTCCATCGACAATAGGCTTGAGATAATTTTTAATATAATTGCTATGATCTACTGTCTTACCTTATGAAAAACAACATTTTTGTTTCAAATTTATTTCAACGAGCAAAAGTCGTTAATGATTCATCTTCACTAATTCAGTTTGCTTTAGTTGACATGTGCTCAGGTTGTTTATAACAAATCCATGTCTCATTACCTGTAATAATATTACATGATCACTATGATTTATTGCGAAATCTCACCAAATTCTAATTTTTAATTGCTTTTGTTAATCATTGAGTTGATGAGGAACCTAATGTGTTGTCATTTTTTCATGTTTAGACAATTGTGAAAGATTCGTTCTATTGTACCATGAGAGAGAGAGAGAGATGTCTCAGCAATTCTCTTATTAAAAGTTGAATGTGGATGATTATTGATAACCTATTGTACTAGTTCAATATTTACATCTGTCAGCTTAGCAATCAGACAACTAGACCGAGACTCGTCATTGCATCTTCTGTTGGATATGATGAAGTTTTAAATCCTCCTTATTGTTGTTAGTTTTTCACGAAATATCTTTGCATCTGTTCTAAAAATAGTTGACATTGTAATATTGTACAGATCGAACTCATTATCTTTTCTACAAAATTTTTTTTTAGAAAAAATTAAGTTATATCTAACAACAAGAACTTCTTTAATTTTAGTTGATGTATAAAATTGCAAGAGAAACATTATCAAAACTTTTAGTCATTATCATAAGTGCGATTGAGTAAAATCAGAAAGATTAATCATCAGTTAACACACTCAATCATATTTTTTACGTCTTTCAAATACCACTATCTAATCAATTTGTATAAAAATTGAATAGATTGTTAACAGTTTTTTTTGTTAATAACTTGAAATTTTCATTGACATTATTTTATTGCATGGTTACAATTATATAAAAATACGCGAATGATGCATCTCATCGTATATTGCTACTTTTTCCTACAACAATTCACCTCTATCTCTATATTAATATATAAGATTTCTTTTTTTTTTAATCATATTATCTTTCTTACATTTTAAAAATATCTAATCGATGATTTTATACTATTTATTAATATCAATGATTTTATATAATAACTAATGGATAATCAATTAAGTAATGATAAAATTGAATCTTTATCGTCAAATTATACAAAAGAAAATGATACAGTTCAATTATTTAATGAATTACTTCCATGGACATTTAATTGTCGAACATTAATCGATGCTGCTCGTAATGGTCAAACAGCTGAATGTGAAGATTTAATTCGACTTGGTGTTGATATTAATGAAAGTGATAATTATGGTAATACAGCTGTTTGGACATCTTATTTTCATGAACATCTTGATACATTATTTACATTATTACAAGTAAATTTCAAAATTAATTATATCGATTTAATTTAAATGATCTTTTTTGTTTTGTATTTTTCATAGCTTGGTGCTGATCCAAATACACGTTCTGGTGACATTCTATGTTCTGATATTCATCGTGCATGTTCATTTGGTGATCGAACATTAACTGAAATATTAATTGAATGTGGTGGATATGTTAACATATCAGATCGTAATGGAAAAACACCATTAATCTATGCACTTGAATATCCATCATCAAATTCTACATTTGATTTAATTTCATATTTAATTGAACGTGGTGCACAAATCAATTTTAAAGATCAAAACGGAGTAAAAAAAAAGAATCTTAAAGAAACTTTCTCATCTATATAGTTTAATAGTAAAAAACATAATGTTCTAAATTTTGGGGTTATTCGATTTAATCAAACAAAATCTAAAAGATTAAAAACGATTTCGAATTGTTGCACCATACTCTAAATAATTTCATAACTTCTTTTAATAAAGAAGACTTCCAAAAAAAAAAGTTCAATAAATGCATTTCAATGAAATTGTTTCTTTTTTGTTCTACTGTCATCACTTTTTCTATATCCTAATATGTAAAGACAGTTAGGCATTTGAGAAGACGAGAAAAAAAAACGTTGGTAACACAATCTGTGCTAGATTCAAATGTGAAATACAATGTAGCTGCTCTTACTAATCTCAAGAAGATTGCTTTGTTCTATCTATTTTTGAACACATTGCTTCATTATCCTTCTTCAGAAATGCAATAAAAAGAGTAATTAATCTGTGATCGTATATCAACAAGGTCTGTCACAGAGTGAAAGATGTTGCTAAGGTGTAGAATCCGACGGGACAAATGAAGGATGTCAGCCATTGTACAAGTCTTTATCCTATACTTCAGCATTCCTTTTAGAGCATGTTTCAAAATAGAGAGAAGAAGACAAAATGTGATCTAATATAATTGTCATATATCATAATAAACAGTTCTTATCGAAATTTTACTTTTATGATATTACTTGAAATATGTCCGAAAAATGTAGAGAGAAAATTTTTTTCAGCTTCTTATAAGGAATTAAAATACTTCCGCTAATAATTTTGATATGTCTTAAGTATTTTATCTTTTCGATTAGTTAACACCATTACATTATGCATGCTATCGAGGTGATTATCAAACTATTAAATTATTAATTGATCATACAGCTGATATATCTGTCGAAAATGCTATTGGTTATAATATTCGTAAGTATTCTAAAAAAAAAATGAATAATAATTGTAACTACTTTAATATTTATATTAAAAGTTCGTTATGCTCTATCATGTTTATCATATACATCACCATCACAATGTATTCAATATAAAAATCGTTTAAAGATAATTGATTTATTAATTAATCAATATAAAATTGACTCATCATTATGTAATGCAATCATAGGAAATAATTCAGAACAAATACATATAATTCCTTTATTTGATTTTATTTTTTATTCATTAATTCGCAAACGAAATGATTTCGAAAAATTTGCCTGGAATATATTCATGAATATTAATTTAACAAAAGAAATTCTAGATAATATACAAATAATTATTCAAAATATATTTGTTTATAGTCATTATTTTTCACATATTATTTATTTATGTCAACGTTTTAAAATAGAAAATTTTTTCTCTCTTTTAATATATTATATTGAACGTGTAACATTTGATACAAAACCTAATCGATTTTATTTACTTTTATATCTAATTTATATTGATCATGGTTTACAATTATTACAATCAATAAATAATTATTTTCATAAATCGTTATTTTATACTCGTCAATGTTTTCTAGAAAATTTTTTAAATAAATGTCAAAAAAAACCTGAAAAATTAAAATTTTATTGTCGTCGTTATATACGAACTGAACTTTCATTTGGTATTCATTATAAATTAGATGAATTAGATTTAAATAATTATTTAAAAGATTATATTCTTATTGATGAACTTAATTTTATATCCAATAATCAATTAGATATTTTTATTTCTTAACTGTTGTTGTTTTCTTTTTGTATAGTATTTTAAATAAAGGATAATTTCAGGAACGTAAAATGCTAGTTGAATGATATTTTACTACTTAATATTTACTTTTTTTTTGCGTTGTGAATAGCATTAGAAGTTTTTTTTTTTTTTTTTTTTCCTATGAGAACATCATCATTCTTTTAAACTATTCTTTTCTTTGTTTTTCTACTCTTCTCTACCTTGACATTACCATGCCTATCGTTGTTCATTCATGGTCAACAACGCTGACAAATGAAGCAAATAGGTGCAATAAGCTTCCATTGTCACCTTCGTTTGTTATTTTTCTTTTACTTCGTCGTTGTGTTTGTTTAAAACACTCCTTTCTTGTTTTACTCGTTACCAATTTTTTTGCTTTTCTAACGAAATGGCATCATCATACATTTTACTTTTGTTCTTGATCAATTTATTTACTTACTAATGGCTGCTACATCCTATACAACATTACCATCCAACACATATGCTGGTCTTGGATCGCAAGGAGATCTTTTTCACGCAGCTAACTATGGTAAAAATGATGTTAGAATACATATTAATTGAACAAAAAAAAATATATATGTATAATATTATTTCTATAGGTACATATGATTCAGGTGTTGGATCATTAATATCACATTCTAATCAATTTTCAACAAATAATTATGGTACTCATCTTATAGATAGTCAACGAAGACAACCTCATTCAAATGATTATCTTCAATCTACTTATTCAAATGATGATTATTCAACTCAACAACCTCAATATTATCCTACAGATATATATGCTCAACAACCAACATATAATCAAGATACTCCATTGAATGATTATCCAAATTCTAAAATACAAACATATAATGATCGATCAACAATACCTAATAATATTGATGAAAATTATGCTGCTGTTACTAGTAATAATAATACACCACCAACACATAAAACAACTATGGATGATCATCAGGTTGAACTTAATAATCGACATCAGGTATAAATAATTTATAATTTTTTTGTTTTGTTCAACATGTTCTTCTTTTTTATGTCTAAAATAGAATTGCATTAGATAAATTTGAATTTTATTTTATTTTCTATTATAAAAATGTTCATTTGAACATAATTAAAAATGAATATCCATTACACCGGAAGAGGGTGACAATAGAAGAAGAAAAAAGAATCATAATAATTTATATTCCATATGCAAAATGGACATAAATTACAATTAAAAAGCTTGAAGAAAATAAATGTTTTGACAAAAAAAAACTCATTTTCTCATACTATTAAACATCTATCAAAAGAATTATATTTTAGTCGAAAAAAAAATGCTAATATGTAATTCTTTACAACATCATATTTTTGTTGCTAAGAAATATATTATCTATTTACACAGAATAGAGTTTCTTTCATAAACACTTAGTAACCATTAAATAATAAGAACAAACATATTCTCTAGTGTTTAAGATTTCAACTTTGAAGATACATTTACATATATACTTTAACAGAAAATGGTAAGAAATAACTTCAAATCTAAATTAATTCTGTTCAAATAATTCCGACAGGTTAATGTATTTACTAACCGAAGAGGATCACAGAGTCAAGTAATCATCGATATGTTTGTGAAACTTTTTACGTCAAAACTTTATTTCTACTATAGTAATACTTAAGGTCAAATAAGAAGCCATTTAAATGTAAAGTTTGATTTTTTTAAATATGCATTGATAGAGTTTCTCCTTGAATGTTTTTTTTTTCTTTTTGAAAATTTTTATATTCATTAGCCATCGCACCCAAGCACAACACAATATCCACCTCCAGCATCTTCCGACAATCAACATCATCCATCTCATACATCAGCACAATCAAATTTTGTTCGATCTGATCCTCAAATATCTTATAATCCATCTAAACAAGTTCTGCCAACTAGTCATCGTTCGCCACCAAACGGTGGCAATGGTAATCCATCTGAACCGATTACAAAAACTAATAATCCTATAAAAGAAATGAAAACAACAAAATCAAGTCAAATGCGAGCCGCAGCTATCAAACAAAAAGAAGATAGTCGTGAACAAAAACAAAGAGCTAGTAACATTGCTATATCTAAAAAGAAAGCAACTCCACCAAAATCAACAAAAAGTCAACAACATCCTCCAAGTGATGTTGAAAAAAATGATATAAAAAAACCAAAACGAAATAAAAAACAATCTCATTCTGTTCCAAAACAAAGTACAAACCGTCGTGATGGTTATCAAACTGATGATAATAATAGTTCCGGTGATGAGGATAATACTGCTCGTCGTACTCGAAATAAATCTAAAAAACATACAGCATCATCTGATTCTCAGCAAGGAAAACATCCACCATTGCCACCGATTCGACATGGACGAGGACCAGCACTTTATGATCCTGGTTTTGATCATCCATTTTCAAAGGGATATCCACTTCGACCACGATATCCATATTATGATGATTATCCACCTTATGGACCTTATCCATATCCTGGTCGATATGATTATCGTTATCGTCATTTATATGAAGATGGCTATGATACTCCACCCTATCTTCCAGCATCTCATAATCCTTATGATGGATTTTTTGATTATGAAAAACGTAAACCTAAATCAAAATCTAAAACACATAAAGATAAAAAAGAAATTAATATTGATCATGATGATCGTGGAGGTATAACTGATTATGAAACTGAACATGAAGATGATACAAAAAGTCAAAAATCAAAAAAAATAAAAAATAAAAAAACAAAACCTAAAGGTGATGATAATGCAAATGAAAAACCTAAACAACAACAACAACAACAACAACGTTCATCTCCTAGTTATCCTGAACCACCATCTCAGAATGAACATGATATGTTAGAACTTTGGCGTCAAGAAAGAAATGATTATTTAAAAAACAAATATAAACCAACTGTTCATGATGTTCTCTATTCACAACAATTTATGAAAACAGGTTCAATTATTTAAGAATTACATAAATTCAAAAATATAATTTCTTTTTCTTCTAGATAGTTATTTAGAAAATCAACGACGTCGTGCATTACGTGATGTTCAAGGTTATTACTTTCCCTATAAAAAATATACACTCAAAGATTATAAAGATTTACAAAAACAAGATTCACAAAATAATCCATATGCATCTATTAATGATCCTCTTCCTGATCGAGTATAAATATAAAAATATATATATATATACTTAGGGTGTACCAAAAGTTCTGACCACAACGTTTAAAGGACCTTTTTGGATAAGGTGACCTATTCAGAAATAATAAACCAAATGTACCATGTTGTAGAGCTTTTTGAGGCGCGTCAAATGGTATACGGTAAATCCTGTTTTCATAAGATTTTCAAGAAACTACAGGCAATTTACTGATAGAGTATTACACATCTATACCCACACCTATCCACATCTACAACAACAAGATGACTGAAGATCCTACGTATATGAGGTTGTAGCTCGTCAAAACTCCACAAAAATTTATGTGAGAAAAAGTATTTTACAAATACTTTCGATTAATATCAAGGACCACAATAATCATTAACTTATCATGCTTGTGTATGGGTGTGGATTAGAATGCGTAGTCGTCTATCAGTAAATTGCCTCTAATTCCTTCAAAGTCTTATGGAAACCGAATTTACTATACACTATTCGATGTGCCTTGAAAAGCTCTACAACATGGTATATTTGATTTCTCATTTTTTGAATCGGCCACATTATCCAAAAAGGTCCTTTAAACGTCGTGGTCAGAACTTTTGGTATACCCTAAGTATATTTCGAAGAAATTTCGTTCAAAACTTCTGAACTTTTTTATGTAAGCTAATCTAGTCTAGTTCTCTATATGCGTAAAGTTTCAAGTAAAATATTCAAAAATACGAGTTTTCAGAAAACCTGAAGTTTTTAGAAAATAGACATGTTATTAAAAATTCGATCGCTTGCAACGAAAGGTTTTGTACGACTGGAAAGAAACATTAGACATGCTCAGATCAAATTAAAACTCTCATTGTCAAACTAATAAATTTAAAATATATGCTGTCCATGGTGTGCATTGAGCGAGATAATGAATTTTTTACATATTTACAATATGTGTAAGATACCTATAAGTCACAATTTTCACATGATTTATTCTTCTCTTTTCATGACGGCTGGATAGAGATCGTCGAGTTGCATAAGAAAAAAAATGTATTTCAAACTTAAAAAAAGAAATCAATGAAAAAAGTCCAAGATACCATTCTCGTCATATAAAAAGAAAATAGATCAAACATGTCTGGCCTCTATAAAATCTTTTAAAATTTGTTTTTAAGTGTGTGTGAAGCACCACTCCTTCTAATGCAACTCGATGATCTCTATCCAACTACTACAAAAAAGAAAAAGAAAAGATTTCTGGTTATGGTACCTTGTACAATGTGTCTCTGCTCCCAAAAATTAGGCGTTCGAACTCTCACAGTTTTAAGTAACCTCTTCGAAAGAGAAAATCTAGATAAAACACTGCGATTTATAGTAATAAAAACAATATAAATTTTGTCAAATACGTTATAAATGCTTTTGTTTTTAAATTGAATTGAGTAGTAGTAGTAAAATATTTTTTCTATATAACTTTATGATTATCAGACGATAAAGATAAAACTATTGTATTTTTAAATGCTCGTATAATGCGACACTGTTCTTATCTTGAGATGTAATTAAATTATATCTTCACTAAATGTGTAACAGTTCTGTATCAAATAACTGTATCGGTTTTAATCATTCAGCTTCTTCGGTGCAAATGAGAGCTAGAATTACTGAAAGACTTTTTTATCCTAGCTCCATTTCAACTAAAACTACGCTGAACTGCATACAGTATTGAGCTCGACTGAAGTATCTCGACTACCATGTATATTGAAGGTCTAAAAATTTGTGTACGTATACCTTACTAAGAATGTAGATCGGAAACACAAGCTGGTTGTGATTGTTTAGATACAACGATAAATTGTGATGATTAACGCTTATTTCTAGTTGAAATTATTAAACTTGAAGAAAATTGTTCGTTGAATTTTGTGTCATTGGTGATCAAATACATGATTAATTCTTGATTTCTTAGCATGCAATCGGAGCCCTGTCTGAATTCTTATTACAGTCAACAGATTAGGTAATCTAATGAAAGATAGTTGTTTCTACGTACATCTAAGTCTTTGCTGCCAATACAATGAGAATATGGGTGCCATTTCCAATTCGAAGAACTTTATATTATGAAATTTGCTAGTAATCATGCTTAATCATAGACAAAGTTTCTGTATATGCTTCAGCTCGATTCAATAGACTATTACCGATTTACACTCTCCAAATGCAAACACATGATTCTGTTGTAGAAATAATTGAAGAAATGCCATAAATTAGTACGGTAGATAGTTAAAACGAATTACTAAATCATGAAGAATCAGTCCACTTACAAAGTTCTCTGTTTTCAAAGTTATGAATTTCAAAGAATTAATTGATCTTATCCATGATAGTTCTCGTTTTATTTGAGCAAATAGGGCGAGCTTGTACTTCTGACTTACATGCTTAGTAAAATATGTGTACACAAATTTTTAGACGTCTATAATGTATGGCAACCTGAAACAGAGAGAGATAAGAGACTTTATTCCATTTAACAATTAATCAGCAGTAGTTTGATTCGATTATTGCGAATCTCAAGGGTTCGAATCAGAATTTAGTATTCTTTCTGAATTTAGGTTTCAAAGTTTTGTAGGACTCATAAGTTAAGAGTTATAAGTGCCTCTTTGAAAGGTCCAAAAATAAAGTTTGGACGGATTTTAGTGTGTGTAAAAACATCTAGAGTAGAATGGTAATCTATTCCGAATACACACCAAAAGAAAAAACAAATATTTATCTACAAAAAGATATCCAAATTTTTTAGCTCTCTGTAAGACATTTATCAACAATAAAAGTTTCAGTAAAAGACTCAAATACATTCTCACTATTCTTTGATTCCAAGACTTACAAGCTCAACTTGATTATTTCTGGACAATTGCTACAAAACTATCGATTCTTAGTGCACCTTGTGAACATATTCTCACCCTTTATTCTACATAAAAGACCGCTAATAACACGTATGAAATTACATTCTCCGTCACTGGATCTGCCAATACAATTTTTCCGTTCAACTTTCATTTTCAACTGATTCAAAGATTCGTGCATGACTTCTTATCTATGAACTTCATAAAAACTTCAAACCTAGAATTAGAACGAGCACAAAATTGTGATTCTAACCTGAGATTTTAAAATTTCAGCTGACCATTTTAATCAGTCGAAAAATGAAGGAACATGTTGTCTCACAACTTTCAGACCACCACTTATTTTTCTTTGAAATTAGAAGATCAAATAGGTTCTAAATTATTCACTTTTCTATTTTTCGTTCATGTCTTTGATAATTAAACAAAACAAAAAAAATAACGAATGGTTAGGACTTTCTTTTGACATCCAATCTGTAAGATCTTTAAAGTTTACACTTACATGCTTGATTAATGTTGATTTTGTCTTTGAAATAATTATCTAAATAATCGAAAATATTCTTTTTAGATATTGAACAATTACAAGGCAAAGTCAGTGAACTTTTACATGAAAATAAACTTTTACAAACTCAATATGATGAACGTAAAATTCATATACAGTATGTATGTTTTTTTCTAGTTTCTTATTTAATATTAATCATTCAGATATCTTGAATCAAAATTACATCAATCTGATTCGAATTTAACTTTAATTCTTGATGAAAATACATCTCTTAAACAACGTCTTCAATCTTATGAAAATACTGAACAAACAATTCGTGATATGGTTATTAAATATACAACAAATCCTCAATATGATGATTTATTTAAAACAATAAATAAAACTCTTGCTATATATGAACAACGTCTTGGTTATATAAATAAACGTTTTCTTGTTCTTCAAACATTGTTTAATCGTCAATTATTATCTTTATCATCAAAACATCGTGTTAATATTGCTATACAAACAGAAGATGAACAATATATTGATTTATCATTACTTGAACGTGAATTAAAAACTGTTTCTAATGAACGTGATTTACTTGCATATAAACTTGATCAAGAATATGAACAATCAAAACAACGTCTTGAACAAATCGAACAAAAATATAAACAAGAATTTGTAGTTAGCAATGAAAAATTAGCAATGATGCAATTAATTTTAGAAGAACATAGAAATAAAATTCAATTATATGAAACAACTTTAATTGAAAAAGATAAACAATTAAAAGAATTAACAGAAAAATGGACACATGAACAACAAAAACAAACAGAAAATATTGATATATTAAAACGAGACTTTCAAGTATGAGATTAATATATTTATTCTAAAAGAAAAATATTTCGTTTTCTTTTTAAGGAACGAGAAGAAACATTATTAAATGAAAAAGATAATGTAGAAAAACAATTAAACGAAGCAAAACGTGAACAAGCTAAATTAGCAGCTAATTGCAGGTCAGTTTTGTGAAACATGATCTAAAAGAAGTGCTGAAGTATATAGGGTAGAAATTTATGTCTACGCCTAGAATCTTTCGGATTACTCATAGATCCGCTGAGCTCCAATCATTTGAAAAATGTGTAAAATGCGCTAGCCACTGAATACAAAAACCCAGAATAAAACATCTTGTATTTTTGCAGCAACTATCTATTTTAATTAGAAAATTCTATCAAGAATATCAAAGTACAATTCCATCGAGTCCGACACTTTTGAACCCGACAAGCTCTACTCATGTCTTCTCCTCCCCAACGGACTGTACCAGACTGTATATCAATACCAGCTCATCAAAACATATTATCTACCCCCTCACCTTATTGAATTACTAAAGGATTAAGTAAAAGGAAAGTGAAGATATATGGTTCAAGATATATCGAATAAAACAATTTTCTTCTGGTTAGTAATAACTGCTACATCAAGTTTCCTATTTTAATCTTGTAGAGATTGTGCTAATAGCTTTTTTTTCTCGAAAACTAAGAATAACAAAAACTTATTTTTTTCTTTGATAAATTTCTAGACAAATTGAACGAACAACAACTCGTGAAAAAGAACGTTGGCAACGTCAAATAGCTGATGCACAATCACGATCGGATACTGAATTAGATAAACTTACAAAACGTATAATGACACTTGAACGTGAACGTAATTTACTTATGAAAACAATTCATCAAGAAAAATCTTATTCACCACAAATATTACCATCAGAAGATAATGATCTTCAATATCTTGTTTCAGAAATTCGACAATTAGCGAGTCGAGCTTTAGATGAATCAAGTGATGAAGAAAATATGAATAAAATATCATAAATAAAACATTATATAAATTTCATTCTTTTTATTGTACAAAATTTGACAACAAAATTTTTGATGATATAAAAGTTTTATTAAAATAATTTTAAAAAATCTATTTTGTGTAATAATGGATATCTATATATATATATATATATTAGTTTCTTATGGATTTATTTTTATCTAAAAAAGTAACTTGAGCATGTCGCAACAAGGCTTAAGATTCACATGTGACACATATTTATCAATATCGATGGAAGAAAAAAATATTATTTATTTATCCGAAAACATAATATACGATGTTTTATTACACCAAAATGATTTTTTTTTCATGTATAAAATATGAATAAATATAAATAGTAGAACATGAGCCAATTTTACTAAGAAAATTATCATGTGACTGGCAACTACTTTAAATCATAATTCAACTACCTAATAGCCTTTATTCGAAAGATATATCTATTCAAAAATGAAATATAACATAATATTATTTTTTTTTTCTTCTATGATTACTACAATACATTATGATCACTGTTAAAAGTCAATAGAAATTCAGACATGTGCACTATAAATATAATACTATGACTATTAGTAGTTACAAAACGACAAATGAAACTTTGACAGTTTCTTCTTTACTTTTCTCTTCGTCAAAGGTAAAAAAACATAAGAGTTCTTGCATCATCTCGACTTATTGCAATTCTTAATACAAAATTTTTGTTGAATTTAATAACGACGGTCCGAAGGTGAGGTTCGTACTTATTTATCACTGATGACTGACTCTTGGAGTCTTTAATTGCTGAAAAGACATATCCAACATCCGCGTTTTATAACTAAAGTACACCTTATCCACATATGACCGTCACCATTAATTTTTCCTTATTAATTTAAAACATTAAATAAAAAACTTGTGCTTCATATAATAACATAAAAATTCATCATTTTTTCATTACGAAGATTTTTCATTAATGAGAAATATTCATAAAAAACGTAATAAAAGTTTCCCATACAATTGATCTCAATCTAATACTAAACAATGTCAAAAAAACAAAAAAAGAAATTTTATTTACATGGTATACAGTATCATCACATTTTCTATTAATACACAAAATTATCTCATGAAAAGATTCTCTAAAGATCAATAATTCAATAGTTGCTAATAATGAATTAAAGAATTCTAAATTAATTTCTTCTTTATAAAAAAAAAAAAAAAAAAAACTTTTTTTTTCGAGTTATTTTGAGTTTCTTTAATAAATAGAAAAAAAACATTCGTGTTTTTTCTCCTTTCATCTTTATCGCATCACAAGTGTTGCACAATCTCCATTTTTTTCAAAATATAATCTATATGCATATAAAATTCGATGCGGTACGCCACGGGAAAGTACTTCCAAATCGGGAGTATCACTTCCAGTATGTTGAAGGGCCATATCATATCCGCTATCTAATAATATCATTTACAAAATTAAATAAAGAAACAATCTAGCTTATGAAGTACAATTCCGTGAACGTTACCGCACTATTTTTCCGTATCAAATTATTTTTCTCAATCATAAAAAAGAATCAATTGAAAGATATACTATTTTATTTTGGAATCTTTTTTCTTCAAAATACAAAAATTAATATATTTGTCTTTATGCTTTGATCTTTCCCACATTTGTCAAACCTTGATATATTTAACTTTTCACGTGCATTAATAGTAATAGTCGACGTTACGAGGTCTAATGATCATGATCAGCGAAGCACGTCGAAATAGCTAATCATCCACGTGACATTTTTATCATATTTCGTCACTTTTTACAAAAAGTATTGATAATATTTCATCGTGTATTGCAAAGCAAGGACGACAATATTGTGCTGGAAGAAAATTCGTAATTATTATCGATACTAAATCTTTAAATCAACTGTAATGGATAGTAAAAAGTCTGGCGCAACTGCATCATCAGGAACAGGACAACATGGTGACAAGAAAGATGATAATTTTTTCTCAAAAACTGCTCGTTCAATTCGAGATAAAGTACAAGAGTTGACGGATGAAGTGAAAGAGAAAAAACATACTTTAACACGTATTACTGAATCAAAAAAAATAAAAAAAAATAAAAATAAAAAGATACAAGATACTAAAATGAGTCCATCATCAAAATCTGCTCCAGCCGGTACACAAGATTCAGATTCAAATTCGGATTTGAATGATGAAGATAGTACATTAAAACCATCATCTCAATATCCCACTCCTTCGAGTATGTACATTTGCATGAAATAAAAAAGAAATTTCAGTAATTGAAATAATCATTCTATTCTAAGGAGCTGCTGACAAACCAGATATTTCATCATCAAAACCACCACCATCATCATCTAGGACAGACAATAACACTGCTGGACCTCCTACTCGTTTCAGTACAAAACATTTTTATAAAAGTTGATTATGTTTTTCTATAGATATTTCTTTTTCTTTTACTTAGAAATTTCATCCAATAATTCGGCCTCAAATGCGTCAGCAAGTAAACCATCTGATAATTATAAAAATGTTGCTGTTGCTGCCACCGCTGCAACTGCTTCTTCTTCTTCAAGTAAGATATTTATCATGATTCCCATATTCTACAGACGATTTTATTTAGAACAATCTGATAATTCAGCTACGAAACATCCAAGTTCATCATTGAATAAAGATTCAGAATCATCAATAGATGATTTAAATGATGAGACAGATGATGATGAAATAACAAGTACACCATCTTCTACGAAGAACAATACCGATCAAGTTCATATATCATTTGATGGTTTACAAATAAATAATTAGTTAAAAATTTATTTATTTTTTATTCTATTGTAGGTGTATCAACTGTCGATGACTTGCTTAACCGAATAGATGAAACTGTTGAAAAAGCAAAACTTATTATAGATGGTGGATCAGACAGAATTGCTCTTAGTATTGATAGAGTACCGTATGTACCTAAGCATTCTCTACCTGATCTCGAACAAAAGCCTAAAGAAAAAGATGAAGAGAAAAAAATCAAAGTCGAAAAACAAGAAGAGACACCAAAAAAGGAAGACAATAGAAAAAAGAAACAAGTGGAAGACAAAGAAGAAGAAGAAGAAGATGATGATGATGATGATGAACCAATACGTATTGACTATAATGAAGTACACACAATTGAAGATCTTCTTCTTAAAGTTGATAATAAACGAGGAAGTCGAAAAGTTGTACTCGAAAATGAATCTGATGATTCTAATTCAATTACTGTAAAAAAATCTACTGATCAATCTTCTACCATTTTACCGACATCAACAACGTCTAATGATAATGATGATAAATCAACACCAATGAAAAGTATTTTAAAAACAAGTCAAGATCCATCATCATTGGACATAACGACTAAAATATCATCATTTCAAGATGATCAAATTCATGTCAATTTACAAAGTGTTCAAAATATTGGTGATCTTTTAGATTCTATTGATGATGCTGTTCAACATACTCCAATTATTATTCACGCAAAACGTCAAGAAAAAAAACGACAAGGTTTATTCGTTTTTCTTTTTTAATTTATTATTTATTGTTCAGATATTGTTTATATCTATGCGCATAGCTCCAGTGGCACCAAATAGAAATAATATTAATGATAAACTAGCAACAAAAACTTGTGTATCCACCAAAGAACGAGAAGGTAAGTTTAGTTTTTTTTTGGTCCTTTATTAACAACTAACTGGATTATCTGAGTACCATAATTTTTCACTTCTTGATTGCAGACATTTCTCCAGTAACTAATGATGAAAATAACAAGGATGAATCATCACAAACAACAAGCACAGAAAAAAGAAGTAATAGAAAAAGAAAACATTCCTTTTATAGTTTTATTCCATTTTCTGATTTCAGCGATACAATCTGATAATAAACAAACAAAAGATACTGAAATTTCAACTTTTAAAATATCTCAACGTAATGATAATCAACAAACATCATCTTCATCAACGAGTAAAAAAAAGAAAGATGAAGACGAAGAAGTTGACTGGATATAATTATACAAAAAACAAAAACAAAACGAAATCTTTCTCTTCTATTTCTTTTCATTAAATAAAAATACAATTGAACCCTAATTCCCTTGCTTCTTTTTTTTTGTTTTTTGATAGAAATAAAATAAGCTGTAAAAGAGAAGAAAAAAAACAAACCGAACAAACCAAATTTATAAATAACAAATATCACATTACAAAAAAAATGAATAAGATTTATGTTTATATATAAGATGATGAAAAAAAAGTTGAACAACAATGTCTTTTTGAATTGTTTTTCTTGAATGCTAAGTATCTAGCTTAAATTCAGATAATGATTTTAATAGGTAATCGAGTTTATTTTTACCAAGATTTCTAAAAGTTCAGACACGGTAGTTTTCAGGTCTCAGAAGACTATTTTTTTTACAATGACATGTTAAAGAGTACAAGGTTCTGAACTAAACGAAGAGTCACGGCAACATAAAAATTATCAAAAAGCTTATTAGCCGTAGTCCCTTTAGAGCTGAAGCGTGAGACTCACTTGTGTTCTTTAGCCTTATTATGCAAATACAAAATATATAAAGTGAAAAATCTCTTGCAGAGTATTGTTTTTTTTCAAGATAATCGATTATCAGAGAAGCGATTTGTCTTGTTTATTTCTGTATTTTGAACAGAATTTTTTTTCTATTCGTTTTGTTGCTATTCGTTCCTTGTTTTCTCCCACACTAAGAAACTCTGTGAAGATAGTTGGACGCCTGTAACCCTCAGTGGATAAGGTATATAATCGAAAGATGAAGCTGCGAAACAACGACTTCTCACAATTTTCTTCGACCATATGTAAACTTTCATCAAAACCAACTAAAAAATCACATTTTTTAAAATTTTTTGTGATACTTTTAGAGAAGGTCGTAGAAAGTGGGATGATCCCTCGTTTTGTTCAGAATTTTGTACTTTTCATAAAGTCATTTAAAAAAAAAACAGTCTTTCAGTACATGAAAACTATCGTATCCGAATTTTTAGAAATCCTGGTAAAACAGAAAACTCTATTGGCTATGAAAATCATTATCTAGATTTAAACTACGTAATTACTTAAACATTATAGAAAAAAATCAAAAATACGTTATTTTTAAAATTTTTCTTGCACCATCTCATATATATATATATTTATTATTTGACAATATTTTGAAACCATTTTGAATAATAGGTTGCAACTTCAGCAACATTTGTTGTTAATGGACGAAATGATGCTAAACTAGAATCATTTCCTATATTATTATTATTATGTTCTTGTTCATGAATTATATTTGATTTAAGCATATTTCCTTTTGATGATCTTTTTTGACCGGACGATGTCGACGAAAGATTCGTAGCTATTGGAAGTAATGAAAAACGTTGTGAACATGAAGAAAGTGAGAGAATATTATTTGTATCTTGACTATTCATCGTAAGTGGTTTTGATGGTATAATACGATCATTTGTTATTAAATGTCCAAACAAAAGCTAAAAGAAAATATTATTTAAATAATTCGAAATCATTTTATTGAGATTTTTTTTTACTGAAGAACGAGGAACTATTTTTTGTAGATGACTTTGCATATATGGTGAAAGAACATTTAAATCAAATGGATCAATTTCACTTTCAATATTTTCAATTAATTTAAAAAAACTTTCATTTAAATCTTTTGTATTCTAAACAAAAACAAAAAATGATTAATTATAGAATTTTTTTTTGTTTGTTTTAAGATTAACATACACTACTATTATCTTTACGTTCAAGTAACATATGAACAAATCGAAGATCATATACGATTTGAATAATTCTTGTTTGTATACGTTTTTTACTTATTCGTTTTTGTCCTTCAGTTAACCACCATGATTCATAAACATTTAAAAAAGTTTGTAAAATACGATAAGCCATTTCACTTGATAATTCTCTTTAAACAAAATAATTAAATACAATTAAAAAAAATCTAAAAACTAAAAATTTGATATTACTTATCAAGACCATGTGCTAATGCTTGATTAATTTCTTGACAAGAATAAAATAGAAGTTCTTCAATAAATGGTGTACAATACATAGGAACACGTATAACACTTTTATATGTTTTATCAGTATCAAGACTTTCTTCAATTTCAATTTCATCCCAAATCTAAAAAACAAAAGAAGAAAAATAATCAAAAACAAAATAAATAAGAAAAATTACAAGTATAGGTATATCATCAAGAAATGTTGATAATTTATTTCGTAGAAGCATATCAATTTTAGCACATATATGAATAATCCATTGTCTAGGAAAATGTAGAATAATGTTAGAAAGTATTAACAAAAATTTCTTACTTAAATAAATCAATATGTGTTGTCATAAACATATCACGAGTTTTTAACCATGAAGTTTTTTCTGTCTAAAATTAAACATAGAGTTTATTCTTATGAAATAGAGATTAGAACTTTGCGTGGAATGAAGCAGAGTGATCCCATTAATTCCATGGAAAATAAATCTTTGGAAAAATATCTCATGAAACTGTGTACGAGGGAATATTTTAGGTATCATTCGATCCATGGAACAAGGCTTTCTTTTTCTATTAAGAGAAATAAGCCGAGCTATCTGGACTACAAATATGCGAAATCAAGCGTTTTTAGTTTCGATCCCGATCCGATTTCGGTAATTTTTCCGTCAGTCGCTTTTCTTCTCGTAGTCTTGGCCTTCGCAACTTCTCTTTGTCATGATCCCAGTTCTGACCCCGATGATTTTTTTCTCATGGTCTCGCACATCTCTAATCGTGACACTCCTTAAAGTCAAATATACTTGAAGAACTATAAAAATAAAACATAAAATTCTCACCGCTGCATCTACTGAGAAAATTTCCAACTAACCTTTTCTTCAATACTATGTTACTGATTGATCCTAGACTACTTTTAGAAAATAAATAATCCAGTACTAAATTAGTACTAGTCTACAGTTTGTCAGATTCTATAGTGATGTATATGAATGTCTCAAATATTGATGAATGATCAATGTATGAACTAGGGAAGCAAATAAAAAAAATATTTTTTTCAGTATTGTATTATTTGATAATATTCCAAAAGATATCAAATAAAAATTATACATGACTAACTTTGTCCAATGTTCGTTTTGATTGAGATGTTCCTCGACCTTTTCTAAAAATGAAGTTTATTATAAACATAAAAACATGAATATATATACATGTTCTATCATTACCGATCATGTACAGGACTATTTCCCATATCCGTAACATTTATAACAAGTTCAAGTGAATTTTTGAGATTCTTACAAACAATTGGTATAGCTCGTGCACATGAACCAAGCCAAACCAAACTAAAATTAAAAATAAATCTGTTTCTTTTCTCAATAAAATAAAATTCAAACCTAGCTAAAGTTTGTTCTTCATTGCCAATTTTTTCATTATCATGTGCTATTTGTCTTAGACGTGCAAGTAATCTAAATAGTTATCAATCTCACAATATCTTTTAAAAAAAAAAAAATATTATCTTTACGTTGTACAAAATTGAATAACACATTCTTCAAGATGTTCTTCAACAAAACCACTATCAGAATAAATCGAAGAATTATTATTAGTATTTGTTGTTGATAAAAGTGTATCGGATAACGATGATACTGGAGTAACATCAGCTACAGAAAATTCATTAACATCATCAAGAATTTGTCGTAATTCATCATCTAATTCTCGACATAAACTAAATAATTGATTATCATGATTAAAATGTAAAAAAGAATAAATAAATCAAATAATATTACTTTTGAACATCCATTGAAATTGCAACAGCTTTTAATGAAAATTTTGCATCACCAACAGGAATTCGATGAGTTGATGGTGTCCAAACATAATCACTTGGAATATTATTATCCAAATGACTCCATATATAATTCAATGCACTGAATTCCAAGAATGATCTATATGAAATTAATTCAATACAATTCATCAAATACTAAATTATTTATATCATTAGATTTAGTATTGTGAAAAAAAAACAACAGCTGATCGGTGAAAACTCCTTCGAGACTAAAAGATGTACAGTGTTAAGGTTCTAACAGGCTATTGTTGTTTTTCAGATATAATCAATCGTCAAGGAAATGATCTGTTTTTATCTATTTCTGTATTTCGAATAGAAATTTGCTTTTTTACTAGTGCTCTATTTTTGTTTGCTTTATAGTTATTCGATCGCTTTTTTTTTCTTAATGCAAAATTATGATTATTCTAATCATTGATTCAACTGACAAATAAGCTAATTGTACATATTTATTATATCCACAGTCAATTATTATGCATCTCGGCAAATTGAGAAACAGTGATATTGGTTATTTCCAAAGCTATAACTTGATTAATTCAAGGTTTTTATGTTGACTATGTGATGACTATGGCAAATCAATAGGTCATTAACTATTATCCTTGACACCTATCATATAATTGATTATCTGTGCAAAAATCAGAAAGTGATCGTTTCAGAACATTTAAACGTGTATTCTAACCATTCAAGCTCAAAGCAAAATGTTGGAATCTTCTAGAATAGTATATACTTTGTTGTTAATGCCATTCAGTACTTTTTTTCGTTGATAAGGCGTTATCAGAAAAAAGTCTTAAGTCTTTTGTCCTCGATTATTAGAGAAAATGTACTTCTTGATTTCTGAACACAGATCCCATTTTCTAAGGCTCAAAATAGAGAAGGAGAAAGCCAGAAAATCTCGACTTAAACATTACACTGACTATATTCTTTCGAAAACAAAATATACGAGTTCTACAATAAATTAATACTTACTTGTCATTCTTATTTGTAGAATTTTGAAATGCTTTCAGACATTGTTCAATTTTTTGTATTGCTGTTTGATTAAATTGATCAAAACGAACATGAAGTACTTGCTAGAAAAGAAAAATGAATATTACTTAAGTAATCATATAAAAGATTTATTATTATTTTCACTTACTTTAGCACGTGTGCGTAGTTCAATTTTAATTAAATCATCCCATAATCGAATATCCTTATCTTTTCCATTTAACAGACGATTACAAACGGTTGCCCATTGTTCCATACGTTCCTAAATTAAACAAAATAAAAATAAGTTTTTGAAAAATTAAAAATTATTTTTTTATCAATAGACAATTAGATTGATTTCTTGGAAGGTTAGAATTATGGCTCAATTCGATATTCCTTTCATTTCAATCCTCATGAAAAATCTTATTTCTGTGAATACTTGGTAGACTCCATAATGCTTGTCAGTATACATTTTCACTAAAACGTAGTCCTCAACAGAATGGCACAGCATCCGACAAGACAACATTGTGCATAACATTTAAACGCAATAAAAAGTTCGAAAAATTAGCAACAATTATGTAGAAATATTAAATAACTAAAAATAATTTAGAGGAGCATCACTTCATACTTCTTTTGAGCACCCTTCTTTTTCAGTTGGTACTTATTACATACAACTAATAGCTATCGTAAAGACTACACCACTTCTAATAGGATTAAAGGAGACTGCTGAGCTCTATGGTTTATTGAAAATGTATACCGCGAAGCACTACAGAGTGTACGAACTTTTTATAAGATTTCGAATTTTTAGGAAAGTTAATGAGAGAAGTTTGAGCCTGAATCGGAAAATCTGTATGACTTTTGGTCTGGGCGAAAAAGTCACCGGAATGTTGGACTAAATCGAAATTCATGTAAGCTGATTTCTTTCTGAAACGAAAGTATATACCTCAGTCATTAATGACACAAGACTTGATTTAAGACGAAGTAATAGTTTGAGTGATGTGACATGATTTAATAATTCACTCATACCAGATTTAACAACTTGTAATGCTCTAGAAAAATAACGACACATTAAAAATATTCAATTTAATTCTTTTTTTTTTCTCCCTACGTTTGTAACCATTTTTCAACAGCATTCTGAACAAGTTGTTGTTGTCGAGATTCATATTCAATAAGATCTATGGGTTCACAATCTGAAATAATTATTAAATGCAAGAGAGAAATATGTAAAGAAAAAAAAATTACTTTTAAAAAATGTTTCTTGAATATTTAGTAAATGTTGTTGTCCATATGATAATATATTATTAACCTGCGAATTATCATCATCATTTGATGTATTATTAAATGTTAAAATATATTTCTTTAATTGATCACATTTATCTGGAAAAGAAAAGATTAAAAAAAATGGATATTAAATGAAATTTATTTTTTCTAAAAAATTCCTTCATACCAGTATTTTTATCATTTTTACTGAAGAGCATATCCAATTCAAAAATTGTATTGATAAAGAGAACAAGTAATTGTCGAACTGTATTTTTCGAGCTTTGTTCTTAAATAAAAATTTAGAAAAAATTTATGCTTGTTTCACAGCCTATGGACAAAATCATTCATTAATAACGCAACTTCACAAAATTAAAATATCTGCATTTCGAGATAATTAACTTTCCTAGAGTTTATTTTTGTATGCTACATATACATGAATTTACTTTAGATAGCCTGAGAAAATCAGCATTAGAAGTCTTTGTTCAGAGAAGTTATTATTAAAAAACTAGCTTTAAATAGGACATTGACTTTCACTTCATGCACTTTAATTTCAGGTATTTAAAACATACATTTTATTTATATGATCCTATTAATGATATTTACCTATTTTAAGTAGTTTGTGATACCTGCTTTTTAACAGACGCTCACTATAAAGCAGCAGCATCCAGAATGTACTTGAATGCTAGTTATGATACAGACTCAATTCTCGAAAATCGCTTTTGTCGTTTGACTGTTCACTGTGGAGACCATAAACAAAACTTTGAATTAAGACAATATTTTTGAAAACAAAACGTAGACAACTTGCAAGATTAAAACATCTTTATCGAAAATTTTTTCTGCTTATAGGCAGTTTTTTCAAATAAATCAATCAAATAAGAAGTTCAAAACTAATTCCAAACGATGCAAATCTTTCTTCAGGATCTTTAGAAAACTGGTTTTCCGCAAAGAGTTTTTTGGGGTCCAATCTTGCTGAAAATTTGATCATAGATGTATTTTGTGTCGTAAAAACTATTCTGAAGTTTTCGGACCTCTTTTCCATAATGCTCATGAGATATTCGCCAATTACGTTTTAACTAAAATAATCATCTGAAGAAGATAACGTTTTTACATATGCTTATGCTAAAGAAACTTATTCAGCAAAATAAACCTCGCTAAGAATTAAAGTCAAATGAAAGATGAGTATGTTCCGTTTTACTTGAAATGGTCCATATCTGACAGTGAATACTTACTAAGATCAGCATTTTCATATGATTCTTTAATAATATCCTAGAAAATCAAATAGAAAAATGAAAATATGTTTATATTAATAGTGTACAAATAAAACAAACCAATTTCGCAGTTAGAAATTCATTTAATGCTTGTTCAACGGATTTATTACCAAATGAAATAAGAGTCGAGAGAGCATTGGCAAGAACCTAAATTATATAAAAATAAAATTATGTATACAAAAATTTTAAATCAAGAAAAATTAATAGGATAATCTGTTTTTTTCTTTTAATTTTATTATTACAAAGAATAAATTTACTTAGGTATTTTATATTGAAAATAAGTAATCAAAAGCAATTAGAAAATTCATTGTTATGTAGATTATTAGATTTCATATAATTATAAAACTATTTACTTGAACATTAGTATCAATACTCTTTAAATATAATCGACATTTATCTAAAATTGTTGCTTTCATATGTCGAGTTTGATTCCATAATCTCGTAGCAGCTACAATAGCCTTTTGTGAATCACTATCTAATGGTTCATCAGTTGTACTTGATGATAAACTACTAGCCATATGTTGAGCCAATAAATATTGTCTAAAATTTAATTATTTATTTATGAAATGATGGAAAAAAGAAAATTACCGAGCTGCTGCAGCAAAATTATTCTCTTCTAAATACATCCAACAACGTCGACGTGTTTCTGTTAAAATTTTAACGGAAAGCACAAGTGTTAATTTCGATAATTGTTTATCCGATATAGTATTTGATGATGTAGATTGTGTTAATAATGTACGATCAATTTTACCACATTTATCATTGAGTAAATGTACAAATTGTTCGACCTTGAAATATTTATCAATAAAATAACTATTCATTCAAATTAATAAAATTAACATACGCCTTTAGCACATGTTTTCATTTCAAAAATTGCATCAGCTGCTTCAATTAAATCACGATATCGTTCTCTAATTTAAATAAAAAGTTAAAAATAAATAAAATAAATATGTTCAACAATATCGTACCCGACCATTGATCGTAATTCTTCTTTTTTTCTTTCCATATCTAGTTTGATTTTTTCTTCTATATCACGTATTTCATTTATTGTATATTTTACAAATATTGAATCAATATCAAGCTTTTCAATTTCCATATTCATTTTATTTATTTAAAAAATAAACCACAAAATCAATGGAGAAAAAAAGTTGAATGTCTAACTCGACTCAAAGACGACGACAAATTCAACGAGATGTAATTATTGAGAAACGAAACATCCAATAGAAAGCTATTCGAGAGACGTCACCAGAGATTGACGTGAACAGTATTTTTTGATCATACTCACAATTGTCACGATCATAATCAAAACTGTCAGCAACCAAAAATTCTATTGTTTGTATTAGTGTTATCTATTACAAAGCGATTATCTATGGTGGTCATATGCGAAAGCGCATCAATTCCTGTCTGAAAAATTCTTCTTCAATTGACAAACAAAATGAAGATAAGATTACGAAATACTTTAACTTGATGAAGAGCAAGTCAAATTATGTTCTCCGGATAACTCATAAATGAAATGGCAAAGTCATAAGTTGAATTTGTTATTCTTGATAATCGATTACTTGACATTGTTAAAAGATCAGGTTCGATGGGTTTTTTTTGCAATGTGTTCTTGCTTTTAATCATATTCTACTTCAATCATCTTCTATTAGGGTATCTGATTAAGCTACAACAAAATTTTATAAGAAGCGTACTATAGTTGACTCTTAGCCCGTTCAATAGCATTGATAAAGTGCACAGTCAAGTGACAAAATCGATTTTTGAGATTTGATCCTATATCATAGCTAGCATTCAAGCTACTATGGTGCTGAATTTAAGTACATTCTAGATGCTGCTTTATATTGAGTGTCTGTTAAGCAGCAGATACCACAAACTACGTAAAATAGGTGAATATCATTAATAAAGATCATATTAGTAAAATATATCTTTTATATTGAGGATATAATTATTTTCATTAGTTATCATATAGTTAGACAGTGTTATGTATTTACTATATATTACAGGTCATTGGAACTTCTTGGAGTTCTTTAGACTATAATAAGATCAAAAACTTACACTCACTATAACAGAAAAATAACCGCTGAACAATAATACAGTTCTTTTCCCGAAACTTTGATTCATGTTTTAATTTGTTATTCGGTAGAACATGTCATCATCTATCTTCAGTGGGTGCATATTGAAATCCTTGCTGAGATATGGTGTCTCAAATATAACCTTCTATCCAAATTTGTTTGCAATTTTTTTTTGTACAGTGATCACTCGTGTTTCTAGTTCATTAAGTTTCGAAAAAATAAATAAATAGCAAACGTAAACTAATTTCAGGTTTTATATTTGGCCATTTCATTTTAAAATTGAAGATAAAATTTCTTGTATAGCGAAACGAATATTGCCATGGTTATCAGCGCGAAAGAAAACCTGTGAGGCCATCATTGTTGAATGTGCATCAAACATAGAAAAACGATTTTCTGGTTGGAACTTCGATTTTCAACAGCTTTGATGTCTGTGTTCTAGCACTCGAACACGCTTATAGACAGAACTGGCAATTGCGTGAAATTATAGAGAAGCAATTTCGTTTGCGTCATCTCGAAAACTTTTCTAAGAAGTTTGTTTTCAATCATGTGTTTTTTTTCTATAACTTAGTGTTTGAATCTTATGAATGTCTTTCTCTGTCATTATCAGAAACTACCAGACTGATTTTTGTTTCGAATCCTCTCTAAAGTTTTTTATCATGTGTATCCAAAAACGAAATAAATTCACTATAGACACATTGAAAATTTTTCCTTTTTGGAATTTCATGTTAAACATATTGACTGATAAGTTCGAATCAAAATAACAACTGTTTTATAGAAGAATATTTTCTCATGAAATGAACAAGATAAAATTCGACTGTTTTGAATCTTTCCATTTCTACAAAATTACTAAAGTAAATGCACAAAATATCAAAAAAATCGATTTTGCTTCAATACAAAAATGATACAATTTCCTATGTAAACTTTTTTGCAAAAAAAAATTGATTTCATTGACGATCGATATTTTCTATCACATACATAAATAAGATTTTAGATGAATATCATTAAATTACAGTGTAGTGGCGATATCTATAATTGGTTTATTTCAAACATTGAATGACTGACAGAGTCCTCTAACATGTGTTTATCGAAGCCACCAATAAAGACAAGACGAAAATCTGTAATTCCCGATTGGCAATTGAAAATAAACAATGACTACAAAATTTTTTTGCATAATTCTATTTCATTCTATTTAAATATCAACCCCGTATCTATTAATTTCTATTAATTCTTATAGACATTGCCTAATTTAATAACAAAAACCAGCATCATGCCTGAACAACCATTCGACAATGACAATACTGGTGAACAACAACATGTAGACCAGCCCAACAATGAATTCAATGAAAATTCGCCTGCTAATAATAATGAGCAGTCTGATGATGAAGAAGAAGATGATGATGAAAATCAAATGAAAGATGAAGACGAGGTTTGTTTTATTAAACAAATAAAAAGATAATAAAATTTTGTTTATTTGTTCATTATTCAAGGAAAAAGAAGAAGAGGAGCCAACACCTGATTTTTCTGAAGAATATTATGGATCGGATCTTCCTGATGATGGTAAAAGTTTCTAGTTGTTAAAGAATTTCTTTTTGACTTTTTTTTTTAAATCCTAAGTTCTCTGTCCGGAATTAATGGCTGAACGTCCAAAGGAACATGAAAGTCTGAATAATATCATTGTGGTTGATAATTTACCAAAAGTTGATCAAGTAAAGCTTGAAAAATTAAAAGCAGTTATTTCCAAAGTTTATAGTAAAATTGGAGTATGTCGAAATGAATATTATCCATTGGATGAAGAAGGAAAAACGAAAGGGTAAATATTGATTTTTATAAAAAAACAAAAATATAAATTTTTTTTTCAACTTATTTCTATAAAATAGTTATGGTTTTTTTGAATTTCAAAATGAGCAGATGGCTGTAGAAGCAGTGAAACAAACTGATGGTTATCGTTTAGATAAAAATCACACATTTTCTGTCAATCTAATGTCGGAGTTCGATCGGTATAAGAACAAATTCGAAAAAAAGAATAAAATAAAAATTGATAATTTCTTTTAGATTAACACAAGTTCCACCTGAACCTGTTGATACTGTATGATATCTGCTTTATTTTCTTTTTTTTTTCGTTGAATAATTTCTTTTTTTTTTTTAATTTCAATAGGGTAACTTATTTTCTTGGTTAGCTGAACCTGATGCTGTTGATGAATTTGCTGTTCAATCAGATGATCCAAAAAAGACTACTATTTATGCAAATGCTTTATCGCAACCAATTGTTCTTGAAGATCGAAGTGTAAACTATTTAAATATTATTTTTCTTTTCTTTTTCTATTCATTTGTACATTTTTTTTTTATATTGCTTATTAGAAATGGACAGAAAATAATTTTGTTTGGTCACCAAAAGGTACTTATTTAGCATCATTTCACGAGCAAGGTATTGCCTTTTGGGGTGGCAAAGAATTTCGTCAAGTACAACGGTATGTGTTAAGATATTATGAAATAACATGGGCAAATAAGGCCTTTTTCTCGTCCTTAAAATATTTCGATTATTTGTGTTACAATGAGGTCAACAGAGATTCTTGATGACGTTACAATGATTTATTTTTTGAACATTTCTCAATTATTTTTTCGACCCACGAGAGTGTTTAGCATAGGTTTTGGTCATCCCTGTGGAGTGGAGCTCGTTGGGTTGTGAGATTTTTGTATTCATACTCGGACAAGACCGGATTCTGGTTCTGGACTAATCCAACGAGCACTACTATAGAGGCGTACGAGTGTGAATCAAAAAATTGATTGAGAGATACTGAAAAATAAACTTTTGAAACATCATTAGGAGTCGTCGTTAACTTCATTTTAATATAAATAATTGAGACAGCCTAAAAAGCAAGAAAACTGTCTTATTCGCCTTCGTCCTTTATTTTATAAAACAATAAAATGATATAAATAAATGATAATAATTCTTTTGTTTTTGATAGTTTTGCTCATCGTGGTGTTAATTATATTGACTTTTCACCAGGTGAACGTTATTTAGTAACAATGTCACCACGTCCAAACAATCCTGAAACATTTATTGTTTGGGATATAGTAACAGGACAAAAGAAACGTTCATTTCCACTTGATCAACATTTTTCACAAGGTCCATCTTATTTCAAGTAAATATTATTTCATCATAAAATCAATAAAAGAAAAACAAAGAATGATGATATGAGAAGGCCGAGTTAAATGCATAATCATTTTTCTTGAATGTTTATGCCATGACATAACTGGCGAAGCGATTAACTGACTTTGTTTTTTTGTTTCGAAATTATTTAAAAAAAAAAAGAAAACAATAATTTTTATTATATTTAGATGGTCTTTTCAAGATCAATATTTTGCTAAACAAGGTCCCGATGGCATCTACATGTATGATAAAGAGGTAAAGAAATAGTTTGATAGTGAAAAACAAACGAAACAAACATAAAATCTGATCTTTATTGTAGAGTTTTCAATTAGTCGATAAGAAACCATTTAAAATGCCATCACTTGCTGATTTTCAATGGTCACCTACCGATAATCGTCTTGCTTATTGGACAGCTGAAGATGGAAATGTACCAGCACGTTTAGTACTTGCAGAAATTAATGGTGTCAAATTAGAAGAAGTTCGATCGAAAGTACGGGGCTTTTTTTTCTTATTTGTTTTTGTTATAATAATTTTCTTTTTTTTTCACTATAGACATTATTTAATGTTATCGATTGTAAGTTATGTTGGCAAAAACGTGGTGATTATCTTGTTGGTAAAGTTGATCGATATACAAAAAAGAGTGGAGAAAAAAATAATCCAAAATATTCTGTAAATTTTTAAGCATTTTTTTTTCAAACTTTTTATCTTTATATTTATCATTAATAGGGTTTAATTTATAATTTTGAAATTTTTCATATGCGTGAAAAAAATGTTCCATTAGATACATTAGAAGTAAAAGGTAAAAAGAAAGAAACAATTAAATTATTATTTTTATTAATATTATATTCATTTTTTGTTTCGTAGAAATGATTCAATCATTTGCTATTGAACCAGTCGGACATAAATTAGTTGTAATCACAGGTGAAGGTTTACGAACTAATGTAACATTTTATAAAATGGGTCAAGGACAAAGGAGTGGAAAAATGGAAATACTTAAAGTAATAACACAAGCAGTAACGACAGCTATTTGGGCACCAAATGGTCAATATGTTGTTTTAGCTGCAATGAAAACTGGGTATATTTGATTATTTCTTACGAAGAAACTATCCGAACTGATACATATCGTTTGAGTTCATATTGAGTTTACAATGAGATCTCGATTAGACTTGAAAAAGTCTAAAAGATTCCGTTCCTATATGTCTTTGGTGTCAGGTTATGACTATTGTATTGAATTTTCGACGCAATTTTAGGTATTTACTGAAAAATCAAATAATTGTCTTTCGTCCATAAATAAGTCTGATGACTTTAAAAATCTTCTGAAACCTTCAAAGGAAAAGAATATTCTTTTGTTGAGATATTGAACTTTCAATTAAACTGGATGTTTTTGGGAAACGACCATTTTTTGAAAGTTCAATATATCGATCAAGGAACATTTTTTTTTGCCTGGAAATTTTTGGATATTCTAAGAGTCATTGAATTTATTTATGAACAAAATTTCAGGTTGAAATACTGCTTTTTTTTGGTTTTTCGACCTATATCTAAAGCTGGATCGGAAATTCAGTAAAACAGCCATAACTCGGCATCAGGGTTGAAACCGGTACCGAGCCGGTTCAGAAAGTCAACCGGGCTGGCAGACACCGAAATTTCACCGGTTGAAAGTTTGGAAAAATCTTCTTTGTTAACCCTGTTTTTAGTCATAAAAGCTAAGGTGTCACATGTTTTTTTCTGTCAGAATGCGTAAAAAAATGCTGAAAACATATGCTATATTAATTATTTCTTTTTAGATTCTCTTTAACAAAATTCATTATGATGAGTGTCTTTTACATGCGCTTCTAAAGTATTTCATATTTGAAGCCATTTTTTCTAAAAATCGTTAAAAAAATTCTACATTTTCCGCCGGTTTTGAACCGGTTTTCACCGGTTGGACATGCAATTCCAACCCTGTTTGACATATAGAGACGAATCATTTTTAGACTTTTGGTAGCCTTATCAAGGCGTCCTTGTAGGCACAATATGAGCTCAAATAGTGGATATCAGTTGGATTAGTTCCCTCGTTAGATTTATTTGTGATCGTTTTTTTTTCTTTATCTTTTAGTCAAACGGCTGGTGGACAATTAATATTTGTTGATGCCAGTGATATGTCAATAATGTCAAAACAAGAACATCCTGATTTATCTGATGTTGAATGGGATCCAACTGGACGTTATGTAACATCATATGTTAATTTATGGAGTGCTAAAGTATATTAGTTAAATTTTAATTTCTATGCCATTTTGGTTTTTTTTCTTCTTGAACTAGCGTGATCATTCATTTAAAATTTGGACGTTTCAAGGTAATTTGGTATTTGAAAAGAGTGTCGAAAAATTGGTGGCATTTCATTGGCGCCCTCGACCACCATCATTACTTACAGAAGATATGATTCGAGTCAGAAAGAAAAAAATAAATAATGATTTTTTTCTAAATATGTTTTGTTTCTTATGAATGTTTAGGAAGTTCGTCGAAATCGAGCTGTATGGACACCAAAATTAGATCAACGAGATCGAATTTTGCGTACCGGTGAATCAGCCAAACAACAAGAACAACGGCGGAAACAACTTGATGAATTTCAAAGATTCAAAGAGAAAAATACAAAACGTTTGGCTATACAAAAACAACAACGTGTTCAATTACGTGGTGGTGTTGATACAGACTCATTATTTGAACAACAAGCATCGAATGTTGGTGAAGAGGTTGTTGAATTTCTCATTAAAACAGAAGAAGTCGAATATAAACCGTAATCGAAAAAGAAAAACAAGAATTTTATTATTATTTTGTCTGCTTAAACTAAAGGATTTTTTCTTTGTTATATCCGTCAACATTTATTGTTATTTTGAATAAAAAAAACAAAAGAGGATAGGATAATGATGCGAGCAGACAGAAACAATTTTCTTTCATTTCTTCAGATGCCACGCGTTCAGTTTATTGGACAGATTAGCTTGTCGTTTGGTAATACTCTACCAGAATTATGTTCAAAACTAAAAAATTTTGGTATTGGTCGGATGTTTGTACGTACTGCTCATGATCAAAATAAAGGTAATACTATTCACAGTATTACATGTTTTTTAAAGCATCATTTACCATTCTATAGAAGTATCTTATGTTGTATTAACGCAAAGTCGTCCATTGATAACACAAACTCCACCTAAAGTAGTTATTGGGAAACTCGAAGAAATAACTGCACTCACACGAAAACCGCTGGATATTCAAAGTGAATTTTATGGACGTATTATTGAAAGTGGTGCTGTATTAAATGGTGGTCGAGAAATGAAAGTTTTAAGTGCTACGAATCCTGATTGGCGATTAATTCTAAAAGAAGATGAAAATTATTATCTTAAAAATACTATTACAACACAAGAAACATCTGATAAAAATCGTGAACAAACGAGTATTAGTCTATTACAAGAACATATTCCTGATATAATTAAATTTTGGGCAAGAACCAATGGATAAAAAGGAAGACATTTGTTTTTTTTTGTAAGAAAAAAGAAAGTATTGCTTGTTAGACTTGTAACAGATTTTCAAATAAATAAAAATGTCCAATGGTTTTTTCTTTAAAGAGATTCAAGATGTTGCTCATAATACACTATCTCTATTAATCCTTTGAGTCTCATAGTAGCAAAAATGTTACACATGTTTTATAATTATTATTTTTCACAACATAATTTACAAAAATTAGTACGGAATCTCTTTGAATGAAACAATGGAGACCTTGCCAATTGATAGCAGATGTACTTCCATGACGCTGTCTATAAAAAAAACTTTGCCAGACTTACTTTCAAGTAGTATACGGTGGCCGACAAAAAAAAGTTAAGATAAAAAATTCAAATACAGGTTGAGTCTTTTCAATGTTTTTTCTTTATAGAGCGATAGTTAAATCTCATATTTGGATGACATATACTAGATGACAATATTCAGAGAAAGAGTCTATTACTAACCTTTTACTGTAAAAGATGTTGTCGAAAGACATAAGAATGTCTCTTATGCATTTTTATATGGCTGTCACATAAGTTTGTATTTTTTTTTTGTATTGTTGTATTTCTATCTCTTGACTTATTTGTATTATTTTAGAGTTGTGGTGTAGGGAACTACTCAACAACGGCATAAAACGAAAAAAGATATTGGCTTCTATTGGACAGCATCTGTCTTACATGACATTTATATAATAGTATATGAGAGACATTCGTATGCTTTTCGACAAACTCTTACAGCCAAAGGCTGATGATAAGCTCTTTCTCTCATTATTGTCATCTAAAATATTTAATTGAAATATGAAATTTTACTATGGATCTACAAAGAAAACAATTGAAAATTATTCGAAAATTCCTTACTTTTAGCTCACCCTGTATATTCACTCCATTTCAATCAAATGGAATAATATTTTGGTCGATCATAGAAGTGTTTTCAAAGTTTTTATTCATAAGAGAAACATGTAAAGATAGTGTGCTGAGCTATTATGGTTGACTGCAATCAGAAAATGGACCTTGTTGTAAGTTCAAAAGAAAAATATTCACGTGTGTCACAACTATAAATTTTGTAATTAATAAATATTAATAGTTAAAATTCTCATTCAAGCGTAGCAAAATTCGATAAAAGTCTACATTGAATAAATCGTATGCGAGCGTGTGTGAGATCTTTGTGCTAGGCGTTTTTGTGTCTGAAATAAGTTAACATAACAGTCCGATTTAATTCAGTTCCGCAAAATAATTTGGAACTCAAAGAGTTAATTAAGAGTTATGAAAATACATGAGACATAATACAAGACCCGTACAATTTTTTACGCTTCTACATAATAGAAGACCAGAAGTCTTTTATTGCGGGAGAGGGGAGGTATTATATTATTTGTATTTTTGAACTGTTGCACGAAATAAAAACTGCTTTATATGTGAAAATCTTTTCTGTTCAGTTACACTTATGCTTTGGAATCAATGAAACTCTCAGTAATAATACCAAACGCACTGATTTTGTTGAGTTAAAATTTATAATAAAAGTGGAATTTCAAATTGAAAATATCATTGAAGTAAGAAGTTTTGTGTGAATGAAGAGTAAGTGAAAATGAACAATATAATTTCGTCTATAGTGTACCGCAATATAATTTTGATCATAAAACCACGCATGTGAACTGATGCAGATACTATATTGATTGTAATTTTTGTTTAATTTTTTACGTTAATAAAGAGCCACACACATTAAAGGGCCAAATCTGCCACTCCGATAAGGTACCATTTTTATAGGATAATTTTGTATTTTGGATCCAATGAAATATTTAGAAATATTGTTTCTCTCAAACGGACTTTTGCTTACATAGATAAACGAATATCTTTATGACTACATGGCAAGGACCAACTAGGATCCTTGAACCGCACTTTTCTCTGTCATGGAAAAATGTTCTAAAATTCTGATTTTATGTTTAAAAACAGTATTGTAGACCTTCTACTTCCGTATAATCACCGTTTTTTCAAGATTACTAGGGATTGAATAAAGACTGAGATACGGTCACCAATGGTATGTAGTCTAGATATATGTGAAACCTTGAGGTGACAATACCTCAACAATAAAAAATTATACATCGATGAAACTTTCACAAAAGCTGCTCAATTATTTCTTCTATAAAAGTTACGCATTCGAAAATTTTCGAAATTTATCCAAACATGGATATTGTCACTATATTGAGTGACCGAAAGCAAAAAAAAAAGATCATTTTTTACTCTCTTACTTCGCAATGTATAAAGAAAATCAAATCACTTAAATACACTTCAAACAATTCATGCAATACATTAATTAGAAATTGATGAAGTTTAATATTTATAATGTAATAAGTAAATATAAAAGTGAATGAAATAAATCAGTAGTCATATACATTTATCTATTGACAAATAAGATAATATTAAGCAGTATAATAAAAAAGTTGGATAAAAAGATGTCTAATCAATAAAAATTCCTGTTCATTATGCATTGACTAATTCACACATATCATCATTTTTTGATCGAAATAAAAGAAACTAAAACAATAATTAAATAGATGAATTGATTAGCCCTTTGGTTACCGATAAACGATACGCACACATAAAATAGAATGACTTTAAATCAGGCACAACTTCGTTTCTGAACACCGGAATCTAACATGGGCCCTAGCAAAATGATAATACGAAAATTTTCTAATGTTTGACGTTTGCCGTTACATAAATGTGTTGAAAAAATATGCATCATTAACTATTACATTAGTTTCATGTGATGATAAAGCACATGACGCATATATACGTTGGTAATCAGCAAAGTGTTAAGATTTAAAGAAAATAGAAGCAAATCGACTGATGTCGACCTTTTTACAATTAATAATAATAACGGCTGAAAAGATATGGATAAGTAATATACGATGTAGTCATATTGCACAAGCATAGTTTTATATGACTGTTATAGATCTATGATCAATTGTAAAGGTACCCATATTAAAACCACTCTATATATGTATACATATATGAACTAAAACGAATTAATAATCTGAGAAAATTTAAGCAGATGGCTGGAGTTCATAAATGTTTTTAAGATTGAAAAACTTTTTTCTATTATGATGAGACGTTATTGAAAAATGAATGATGCTATAGAACAAATGTTACGTTCTTTTTACGATAGCAAACCACAGTGAGACAAATACTGCTCTCGTTTTAGTTTTAATCTCCAAAATAAGTTTTATATGTCGGGAGACTAAGAGTTAGAAATGGCCATATGAATGGAAATGCTTCTGAAAATGATGTCGAAACAGTATTCAAAAAAATGTGAAGATGAGTTCTACATTCAAATAAAATGTGTACCAGTCAATCAAGTTCTTTGTAATTTTGAAATCCAATGGAACTCTATCAGTTTTAAGCAGCAACTTCACATCAAAATAAATAATACTTTTCTTGATGTGGATCACTAAGCAGCCTTAATTAATTGTAATGAGTGTACTGATCATGATTGCTTATTATATGTGCCCTCAATCAATACTTTTATGTCTCATGTAGTTATTCATCAATATCATACATTCAATATTCTATTATGCGAAGACAGGAAGTGAGAATGAAATTATTCTCATGACTAATTATTATTGAAGTAATACCAAAAAAGAATACGGGGCTAGCATCTATAACAGAAGAACATCTGTATATGGTATCGAACTGATAACTTTGATAAGATTGGCGTCATCACAGTTGTTGTGATTAAGTTAAATAGTAAATATTTGATTATTTGAATGGTATTCTCGAAACTGATGGTTAAACTTAATCTCTCATTGAAACAAAAGGCATCTATTTATATACCATAAAACTAAGATGTACGCGCTCTTATTAATCACTCGAGCACTAACAACTACCGATAGACAGCATGGACAACTCTGAATAGTCACGATCACAAAACAAAAGTCAAATTTATATTCAAACAGTTATTTCTTACAGGAATATATGCTAATCTAGACATTTTTTCAAATATGCTATCATCCACGGCCATCTAAAAATACAATGAATATTTACGCGAATAGCCACATCCGTTCACAATCTTCCAAAAAAAAAGTCATAATGTCACCTATACTTGACTACCTAAACTACAAAATAATATGGATTCAAAAACGGCATATATACCTGATTTATAATAAATCAACACATTTCAGAGCTGTAGGTTTTTAAAGTGAAAGTAGTCAGCTAACAATATTTTCTGATGTATTTTGGAATGATTGTGATTATTTATCGCTGTTCGTCTCGATATTCATACTTTCTTTGGATGGTTGAAAGTGTTAGCGGGGATTCGGGAGGGGGGGGGGGCGGTCGGTTTGTGTGAGGATATGACTATGGAGGGTTTTCTATGTGCTAGGTGTGGATGACAGTATAAGTATGGGGCGGGTATTATGGTATATGTGTGAAGTGTTGGTTTGAGGTGTGAGTGTGGCGGTGGGTGGGTTTTAGTGTGTGTGTGTATGTTTAAGTATGATTGGTTGAGTAGATGAGGAGAAGAGCTGTAAGGACACATACATTCACACCAATACCGACACGAATATCAACATCTAAACTCAGGTCTGCACACCTAGCTGCATGCATAAATTTGATATTAGTATTGATTGAACTTGTAAAGCAGTAAATTGTACAGAACACGCGGAATATTCAGTCGTGTGTCAAGCGAGCCCTAACGACGACCGTTACTTATTGTTTTACATATTATAAAACATCAATAGATACTAAGTACATCAACACAGAATGTAGACAGAAGCTCGTATCATGTGATGTTTCACCTATTAAATAATCAGAAGAATTCGGCATTATTAAGTTTATATTTATATAAAATAGATTCTCAAAGACGTCACATACCGTATGTATGCGTTTTTAAAACTGAATGCTATCCAAATTCCATAAGTGAATATAGAGGCGAGAAGTAAATACACAATCTATATCGTAACATTTAATAAAATGATATTAATTTTAAGGTGAATTGATATATTTCAACATATAGATTTTATTTTCATTAGAAATCTTTTGATGGAAATATTCTTTTTTATAAATGTAAAGCTCTCTGTAGAAGAATGTCACTCATGCATCAGAAATATACAGGACTGACGCAACGTAATTAGAACTGAAAGCAGTAGTATCTCAGTTGTAGACGGAACATAATTCTATTTCTTCGCTAGGTCGTCTTGCATTGAATGTTTTTCAAAAGAGATACAAAATAGTTATAAATCTCTAATCTTCAATTTGTAATAAAAAATGACTTTTCTCTGGTGTTCCAGACTCCATTTTTTTTGTATAGGAAAATCGAATTCTTTGGGTTTTTGTTGTCATAAGAATGAATACATATAGCTTATAATAAGATTACTATGTGTTTCAATAAATTAAGAATAATATCGATAAGCACCATAGAACAACTTGATTGAACATCATTACATCAAAATAGAGCATGCTTTAAGTGAACAGGGTGTGAATGTGTATGGTGTGGAAAACAGTATCAATACTCCCACCCACCCACACCCTCACCGTATGATGTACTACGGCTCACACCATCAATACTTTGCACGAAATATAGAAGTAGATGGATTGCAATTTCTGAGATTCTCTCGTAGTTACTCACCGACAGCTTGAAAGTGTAGCATCATGTGCTATGAAGGATCTCAAAGTCGACAAGCAACGAACAATGAGAAATGTAGTCGATTTCTGATACGAACAATGCAGCAACGAGAATTATCGGGAAGTAGAGATTCAAACGAATGTTTTACTCTATAGAAATCACACTACGAGAGAGCTTTGCATGGTTAAGATGTAGATATGACTGGCCTGAAAATACAATTTCCTATATGTCATATAATGCAGTTCGTTTTGCTCTATAAACAAACGAATACAATATCGGAACTCAGAGCGGATGTGTATATACCTACCCTGAGATCTTTTGTAATATCGGGTCTATTGATGTTTCACATTTGATACTGAATTTTCCTGGATGCTCTGCTTTCTATAATATACATTTTCATGTCAAATAAGTTTTTATTTAGCTTTATAATTTCAAAGAAACTTTGGAACAAGGTACCATTGCTGATTCACGCTGCCATTCGGTGACCATACAATAAGAGCCGCACCAGCTGTAGTATTTCGTCCTGGGATATCGATGGCTTTCCCAGCGACTGGACAGTAAATGCATGTTCCATTGACTACCCATTGTTGATTTGCTCCTCCAGTTTTGGACCAAATGATTAGATCAGTTCCACCAATGCCACTAGAGATGTCAATCACCTTGCCAGCAGCCATATTTTCAATAGTCCCATCTGAATTAAAAAACCAAAGTTGTTTAGATGGATCTTCATTGGTTCCATTCTTTATTGGCAACATGATAATACGGGTACCTGCATCAGTTAAACCATTGTAAAGATCAAACACAAAACCATTCATTGTAGATTGAATGTAATAGTCTAGAATATACATTTCTGTTCCAGTCGAAATTAAAATCTGATTTCTCGTCAAGACAAAAACAAGCATGTTTGGACCAGCTACAATATTTTGATATATTGCGAAACACGATTGCAAGTCAGCTCTTGAATATATGGCAAGAAAATGGAATTCAATACTCGATCTCGCATGTACATAACGAATACATAGGTAAAAATTGCTCAAGATCAAAAAATCTTCATAGATATTTTGATGTTTCTTTTTCTCCTGTTCTTTGGCAATGTCCTGGTCATGGCTGGTCTCGCGTATCAGTAATATAGATATGTCGTGTTTCACAATTTAATCCCTCATTAAAGAAACGATGGAAGGTAAGCACGAGAACTTTGAATTCGAAAACGTGAATACACGAAAACTGGACACATGAAACAGCCCGCATGCGACTAGTTTAGCACAGGAATGTTGAGCAGAAAAAACAATCAGCACAAACATGTACTGCATGATATTCACGTACGTCAAGCTAATTAAACATTTAAATTGAAGTTCACAATATACTTATTATCCTCAACACAAAGCAACGGCTATAGTTATTTAACAGAGTTCTCTACTATCTCTATAAATACTATGAGTTTCCCAAAACCATTCTATTCCAGTCTAGCAAACCGATGAAAAATATCTAGAGTTAATCTGTATCAAAACACATAAGCTTTGCTCAAGCTTCTTTAAATTATTTTCTAGCCAATATTTTGCCTTTATGTTTATTTTCACTAACATCGAATGTGAGTCCATGCTGCTCAAAGAAACGAACGTCAACATAAAAGACGAAATATTAACTAAAGAAAGTAACTCTCAATGACCGCTTCAACGTTTATGAGTTTCGATGGTAATTAACATTAGATATTGTTCATCGGTTCCGAAATTCCTCAGAATTTATGTAGATTGTTTTTGGTGTTCAGCATTCCTTTGCTGCCTAGGTCGAGAAGTACGGGCTGGTTCCAGCAGGAAAATACCGGAAATCATCGAAATATGGAAGCAGTATTCCGACCAGAAAAATTTTCAGACTTTTTTCCGGTAGATTCCAGCCAATTTCTGTTCTTTCGGGCACGAAACGGCCGGAAATCATCGGAAAAAATCTGGAAACTTTCCCACCGGAATTCTGCTTCCATGTTCCGGCATTTGGGGTGTTTTTCTGCAGGATATGGCGATTTTTCCGCACCTTTCCTATCAGTTTCTGCAGTATCTGGTGGTCGGAATGATCGACCTGGGTAAAACTTCGTGCTTTCCTTAATGTGATAAACGTTTCCCTGCTCAGTTTTCCATTTCCTCTTAATGATAGAGTAAAACTTTTCTTCGATTTCGAGTCGAATTCAAATGTCACAAAGAATACTGATGTCGTAAAGAGATTTGCTCGTTGTATGGAAAAAGTGCAGCTAACTGATATGCCGTATTACTTAGGTTTCTAGCAACAGTGCTGGTTGTTGTTGTAAGAGTGCTGGTGGTTGTTTTAAGTGCGCTGGTGGTTGTTGTAAGAGTACTGATGGTTACTGTAGTTGACTTGGCTGTTGTTCCACTATACCTGGTGGTTGCTATACTTGAACTGATACTTACACTATTCGTGCTGGTTGCTGTCGTAGTATTGGTCCTTGCTATGTTGTTCACTGTTGATATTGTTTTGGAAATTTTAATTGCATCTGTGCCTATTAGGACGCCAATAAGTACACCAGCAACTAGAACGATAGTCACAACGCCGACGAAGAGAAAAACAGCCATTTTTATTGGACTGCTAGAAATTTATATTAGACATAGTCTTAACTGAGTTTCTTTACTCACTGAGTTGCTAATGCCATATGAAAAGCTTTATCTACTTGAAAATCAATAGTTTTTGGGTAAATCTATAATTTCAAATTGTTTTAATGTATTAGTCTACATATTCGAAATAGACAACACACACCTGCTTTTCACTAGACTTAATTAATCAAAACAATAAAAAGATCCTTATAACAAAGCAATGAAGATCCTTAAAACATAAATGAACTATTGTTCTACTAATGAAAATTCTCGCTGTAGCAGTATATTCGTATTGAAGGCTACGATCATATCAAAGAGTCGTTCACTGCCATGTTACTATTACCTAGTTATTTTCGAAAAACATACAGTCTGAGTATGTTTTCGATACCCGGTGTGCGATCATGATGGAGAGGGATAGTTTATCAAGTTTCAAAAAGAAGATCTAAGGACATGCATACATATTGGACTTTGATTATATTTATCCATTGATAGTTATGATTGAGTAGCGATTGATATTTTGGAAAAGAATTCATGAAGTCGTTTCTCCTTTCACTTTGTCTTGTCGTATGAGCATTTGATAGCGAAAACGGTTCTCTTCGAATCACTGCAAAACCCATATCTTTAGCTTGTTTTATTCTAGAGTTGGAAGATTTGTCTTCAGAACCCTACTCTTGATTGAGTCATTTTAAATGCTACTTGGATAAATCTAGACCTACGTAGTGCACCGCAGTGAATTGAATGAAGACATATGTTTTCAGATTGAAAATTATCTCAAACCTCTAAGTCAAGAGTTCTTTTAAAACATTCACTATTTGTCATATATGACATCGAAATGCGGGCTTGCAACAGTTTCGATATTGATGCTTAGATTGGTTGGAATATGAAACCAAGTATCATCAGTCGATTCTGCCTGGTGCAATACATTGGTTTAAGATGTCCTACAGCGTCACTCGAAATGAACTCAACGAAATCGGTGTTCTGAGTGCAATCTTTCTAAGTCTTAAATGTAACAAGCTAAAAATATCGGCTTTGTATAGATTGAAAAATAACAATTGTTTTCATCGAACACTAGCATTGCGAGATGATATCAAATGAAAAACCGATGTATAATATCGTATTTCACAAGTTTCCCAACACTTAATCAGAAAGGCCAAACGATAAACAATCGAATTCGAGCATACCAATGGTGTGCGCATCTAAACCTTAGAAATGAGAAAAACGGCAACGCTCTGTCATGATCCTACCACAAATGATGCAATAAACGTTTATGTGTTTTTTTTCTATCTGAAGACACATAGTAGTTACGTATACTGTTCACGATCGTGTATGATCCTAACCAAGTTGAGAGAATGCGCAATGCTGTATTGATATATTTCTAATCTCACAAATTCTTGTGACGGTAGAAAGGCTTCTGAAATGAAGAGCCACTTCATACAAGCTGCTATTGCAAACACTGGAAGATACATCGAGATGATGCAAAATTCATATCTTGCCGATTTTTTTAGTTTTTCTACCTAAACTCCTAACGATGTTATATGACTAGACGTTGCACTGCACTATGCCAGAATATGTATGATGTCGAAAAGGTGAATGACTATCATTTGCCCCAAATTGTGGTTCCCTAAATTAACCCCCAAATCGTATCCCCATTTGGGGAAAAAAAGCAATTAATGTAAATTTTGGTCACCAAATGGGGGTTTTTGTTTTGGG